TCATGACCGACTATTTTACCAAATGGGTCGAAGCTAAGGCGTTCGCCGACATCACTGCAACCGAAGTCCAAAACATCACCTGGAGGTACATCATATGCTGACTTGGTCTACCCTATGAGATCGTTACTGATAACGGTGTCCAGTTCAGATCAAAGAAAATTCAAGCATTCTGTGACAAGTGGAAAATTTGCCTCAACAAGTCTACACCCCGCCATCCGCAAGGCAATGAGCAAGCCGAAGCAACCAACAAAACGATCCTGGACAGCATCAAAAAGCGTCTCAATGCCAAGAGAGGTTTTTGGGCGGACTAACTGCACGGCGTACTATGGTCTCATCGCACAACTCCAAGAACTGCAACCGGGAAAACTCCTTTTTCACTCGCATACGGATGCGAAGCTATGGTTCCGACAGAGATTAACATCGGCGGCTTACGATGCAGAGTACTCCCGAGTATTCTAGGAGTGAACGCAACAATGTTGGTCGATAATATCGACACATTCGAAGAAACACGCAACCAAGCGTTGCTCCGAATGCAGAAGTACCAGAATCTGGCAGCTCGGTACTACAACAAAAAAGTGCATAATCGACATTTCGATAAAGGCGACCTGGTCCTACGAAAAGTCTACGAGAACACTAAAGAAGAGAATGCTGGGAAACTCGGCGCGAACTGGGAAGGTCCGTTCATCATCACTAACATAGTGAAACCAGGAGTTTACCGGCTCGAAACCTTGGACGGCGAGTTAATTCCACGAGCCTGGAACTCACTCAACCTCAAAAGATACTACAGTTAGATCGGCACCTCCTTGAGGTCGGCATCGTAAAAAAAAAGGGGGGAATTGTCCCTATGAACTACGAAGCGGTTTGATCCCCGAAAAGGGTACGTAGGCAACCTATCCTCGGATGGTGCAACTGCTCCCCCTCTCAAAATGGGAGGGGGGGGGGGGGGGAAACTCAAATTTTCTTTTAGCTTTCAGGTAGTCTTCAGATTGTAAGTCTACTTTAATTCAATAAAACCTTACTTTCGAAATATATATCATGTTCATTATCAAATCGGCATCCTGGCTAGATGCTCGATCCGCCTAAAGCTAAAGTCTGATCCACTTTAGCTCGGCAACTTAAAGCCAAGTCCGTCTTGCATTGTACAGTTTTACCTGTTTTACTATGTCTGAGCCATGCGTTGTTATCAGCCAAGTCAGTCTTGCATCCGCATTCGACTCGGATACTTCTAAGTGATTCCGATGCATCGACGCCGACCTGAATCGCACATCGAGTATTCACACTTAGAAGAGAAGTGGTACGAACAATCATAAGCCGGGCCTCCCGCACGTTCGTATTCACACTTCAATATGCAAGCGAGAATCCGCACTGCAATTCTTAAGCTATGCGAAATATGTAAGCCGACCTGATCGCAGTTCGTATTCGACTTAAGAAATTTTCTAAGTATCGAATATATGCCGATCTCATTTGCTTATTCGTTCAAAACTTTGAAACTCAAATCTCATAAACTTAAACCGATATCAAGTCGCCGTTGTGCTTAGATTTTTAAATAAAACTTCCATTAAAATAGAAGCCAGAACGGCACAAAAAATACATCAAGGTACACATCAAATTATAAAAAAAAAAGAGAAAAAAGCTAATCTTCAGTTTCTTCCTGAATTTCTCCCTCTTGCTTGTCGGTCTCGTGACCGCCACCCTGCTCGGCGTCTTCACCGTCTCTATCGGCTTATGGGTCCTCGTCCACGTCGGCTCCCTCTAACGAAACACCACTCGAAACCTCGAGAAAAATCTCTGGCTCTGGAACCTTAAGCTCGTCGGATGTGAAGCTAACTTCTTCAAAGGCATCTTGTGCCGCCTTGCTATCCACAACCATCTTTTCCACACTTTCCTCGATCGAAGTCGGGAAAGAGTAACCTTGCCTACGGACGATTTCGAGGGCCCTTTTCGCACCAGCCCATTGAGCCGCGGTTGAAATAAGCTCTTCGGCTTTCCCCTTACGAGAAAGCGAGTCCTTCACCTTTGTCACCAGACCGGCATAATGATTATTTACAGCAACAGCTACGCGCTTAGCCACCTCTTGACCGAAGGCGAATTTTGCTTCTTCAGCCGCTTTGCGCTCGACCTCAAGCTTTTTCTCCGTGTCGGCCCTCTCCTTCGTAATCTGCTTCACCGCTCGGTTCAGCAACCTATTTTTCTCGGCATTATCGGCACGAAGCTTCGCCAAGTCTTCAGCAGACGCTCGCATCGCGGCGTCTAGCTCGGCATTCTTCGGCCTCTCAGCCTCAAGGGCTTCCTTCACGGCTTCGACTTCAGTATGATCAGATAGACACCTTTTGGCATCACGGTCATACTCGCATAGTGTCGTCAATGCGGTACTAAGAGCCTGCATTCATAAATCTCACTATTAAAACGAAACTAATGGTTGGGAAACAGAAGAGAGCAGTCAGAGAAATTTACCCTAGCCTGGTCTTTAGCGAAGCACGCGATCGCTTCGCTGCGAACGAAGCTCCGAGGGTCCATCGCAGGAAGGTCCGGATGGTCCCTCAACCGGAGAAAATAATCAAGACAGGATTTGAGATCGTTCACCAATGGGCTATTTCCTCGATAGTCGTAGGAAAACCCAAACCGATGAAGCTGCCGATCGGTCCGAGGTCTCTTCGACCGTTGCGAATCCTCGGATATGTCACCCATATTCTGCCCATCTTCACCTGCAGGCTCTTCCAGATTGGCCTTCTTCCGGGCCTTTTCTGCCTTCCTGGCAGCTCTTTTATCGGCCGACTTCTTTGCCTTGGCCAAATCTCTCTCCCTCTTGTCGGCAGTCGCTTTGGCCTTGACCCCGTCGACGCAGGATTTTGGGCCTCCTTAGCACCCAGGGATTCAAACAACAACTCCAGGTCAGAAAATAAATCTTTGAGTAAGCAAGATTTCATCTTGTCAGTTCGGTTCTGGTGTCTAAGAAGAGCAACTGCAATTAAAGAGGTGTCAGCCGACCTTATCCCTAGAAACTCACAAACATAAGTGAAACGATTTGTACCAACCTCTTGTCCTTTCGATCCTCTCTTCCGTAATCTCTGACCAGGTGATTGCGCTGATCACCGCAAACCGTTTGGAATTCTCATAAATATCGAGGGGATCGTCAACAAAGAGAAGATGTCTATTGCCTGCAAAATTAAAGATACCGATCAGATAAGTTCACAACATGATCTTAAACAATACTTTAGGTCGGACGTGTTTCTACCCATGACCTCCGCCTATTTCGTTCGAATCTCGATGTCTCGATCGATGATGGAGTGCTCGTTTATCAGCACGAAGAAATAACAGTCCCTCCAATCGTTGACTTTCGATTTCTGGCCACCTGTGACTATGTTGAACCGGGTCTTCATGCTCGTATAGTATGATCCTCGATTCCTCAATTTTTCCTTTGTCCTCCTCGTATTCGTCATCGCGTCAAACGCAGCTCGGCTAAGAGGAATATTATGCCTGGTCGACATCACCAGCATACTGACGATCAGACGGATTATCGAGTGAGAAAATTACGAGATCGGCATCTCCTTGTGATCGGTAAATTCCAACAACAGTCTTGGAAGAGGGATGAGATGAGATTCGTACTGTCTCTAACAAGCCCAATATGAATTCTGGTCGGCCCGTCTAACAAGTTTCAGGTCGGCGATATAAAAGAAAATCTTCCATTTATCGAGCGACTCGGGAAAAAAGGAAATTCCTTCTTGCCGACAAGAAGAGTTTCCTATTCCAAACAGGTTGAAGACCGACCTGATCAGCTATAAATACAAGAAGTCCTCGACTCCTCAAACTATCCAAAAATCATCAATCAAGACCTAGAGCAAACTAAGCGATCAGATTGTTCTAGCTTTTGGTTAACTTACCTAAAGAGTTTTAGGTCGGCGTTCTTATTCCGACGACCTAAACACCGTTGTATTTTACGAAGCTCCGACTTCTTCTAATAAAAGATCTCTCTTTTAAACCCTCAAACCCTAGTTCTTCTATAAGTCGAACTTGAGTTTTTACAGTGCTTATGTGCAATTTTCAACTTTAGCAATTAGTGTAAACTTTATTTAAATAACCCTGATTCAAAATTAGTTACGCACTTATTACTTATAGTTAAAGAAGTTTATCTGCTCTAAACTAAATAAACTCATAAATCCGTTCATAATTTTTATTATTATGAAGTTGGTTTTCGAAGTTTGGTGACCACAACGCAAGACTGCACCTAACCGAGTCTCTTGCCACCAAGAGCACAATTCACGGTATTATCCTTATTATTTTAAACTCGCATTCCTCTAAATTAATACAAAAATTCACTCAAATGATATCCTACTTAATTTCATCATAGTTTGATATTTTCTAACTTAAAAAATGACTGCTCACTCATCTAGTTATTTTTTTCTAAAGCATGTTCAAAGTATCTTATGATCTATCACTTTTTGATTAGAGACTTTGTGAACATGTAGGCATAGAAATATTATTTAGAATAGTGTTTAAAGCTTTAAAGTTTTGAAGCTTAATAGTAAAACCATCTTAACGTTAATTTATGCCACATCATTTAAATTTTTTTGTGTAAATGTGATTTTTCTTCAAAATATATTTGTATTAGATGTTTGTTGTGGTTAAAGAGACATAAATGGTTGTAATGGTGAGTTGAGGTCGAATTAAAACACTAATAGACACTTGGATGATGTAAAACCATATTGAAGTTATGAATGTAAAACGTCAAAATTGAAATTAACTCTCATATATATTCATTTTGAACACATACTAAACTTGTATCATCGGAGACTGTCAATAGTTATAGTATAAATTTAAAATGTTAAATCTGAAAGAAAATAAAGATGACAACTATATAACGCTAAAACATCTCTTTTTCAATAACTTGATATCTCTTTCTTTTGAACAAAAAAAAACCTCTTTCTTCAATCAAAACCATTTCTCCATCATTATTATACGAAATAATGATCATTTTTCAACATCCGAAGTGAAAGAGTCAAATGGAGGTTTCAAAACTATGAGTAACATGAATTTGTCAAGTGACACAATTGGAGGAAGAGATCTAGTGAGATTATGCATCTTGCCATATCTTGTGATGACTATGAATCTTTTAGCCTCTTGAGACTCTGTTAATTGGGTAAGTATCTTTTTCAATAGAGTTCTTCACTGCATTATTAATTTTAGATGTTTCAATGATTCTTACGTTATTTATTTTAAGTTGTTTTTTTAACAGTAATCAACCTAGCGAACTAAATCAATAGAAACCTCAACTAAGGCACTATAAATTGGTTAAACTTTCACTTGAAAAACACATGTGTGTGTTTGCCTTACAAAGGCTTATGAATAATGACCGGTTGATACTTTTAAAAAAAATTGATAACAATAATTAATCAATTTTTTGTGTGTTTTTGGGTTTATAACTCTTCCAATAAAATTTCAAATTGATTCTGGAGAGAAATCATAGTCTAAAAACAATAAAAACTCAACACTTCAAAAGATCCAGGACGGCGACTACACAAGAAGCCTCACACGAGCCCAATCCAAAACTTGGTTTCGTTAAAAAAAAGGCCACACTTATTTTTATTTATCATTCCCGTGGGTTTAGTTTTCAGTTTAGTTTGGTTTAGATTTTTAACTAATTAGCTACGGTGAGTAATGCATTGATGATTTAACGAGATTACTACTATAGATTGAGTAAAGAAAAATTCAAAAGCACAAATACAAAGCTCTTAATTAAAAATACTTTGATGGTTATTACATGCAACAAACAAATGGTATATATAAGATTTTTTGGATATCGAGAAAGATAGGGAGATGCACTTAGTGGTAATGTGTTCGTGCAATATTTAGAGTTTTTTGATAAAATTTACAAACCGAGCCAAGAATATTGCTTCCTCGCATGCTTAGGTACTAACTTAGCTATCATCTTCACTGGCACACCTTTCAGCTCTGTATCCACGAAATTTTTATTTTTTTTATTTGCTGTTGTTTATTATATGGTTTTTGGATTTGACAAAAAAAAAAATTTATTTGCTGTTATTTATGATTTGGATTTGGGTTTGGCAAAAAGTAAAATAAAGATATAACTTTTTTATTTGATGTTATTTATTATTTGGGTTTGGGTTTGACAAAAAATAAAACAAAGATTAACAAAAAAAATATTTGGATTTTTAATGGGTTTAAGTTAAAAAATAATAAAAATTAGTAGATGATGTGTATTAATTAAAATCATAATCCAGACCTAAAGGTTTCCTCCTCCCCTCTAGTTCTCTCTCGCTTTTCTCCCCTGAGTTCGCCCTAGCCTCCTTCCTTATCCGACCGGCGATTGGAGGCTTCCATAGCTCCGATGTCGGTCGGATTTGATTTCCTTATCGTTTTTCATCTTGTATTTGTCCTCTTCTTTCCAGTTTCTCTTGAAGTTTTTTAGATCCAAAATTTTTAGATCTGGTTTTTCTAGATCTATTTTTGTTTTCTTCTTCTTCTTGAGTGTTGTCCTTGTTGTTTTCTTTGGTTTTTAAGCCTTTTTTTCTCCTCCAGTTTTAGATCTATCGAAGTGGTTGTGGTGGTGTTTGGTTCTTTCGTCGGCAGGTTGTTCTGGCCTCAGCCTCCCCGTTTTGGTTCCGTCCCCGCTCCTCTCCCTCTTCGTTGGTAAGGTTTTTCTTCTGGTTGTGTGGTTTGGCGTTACCTCTTGCCTCTTCTCCTTCTCTTGGATGCTCCTGTTTCGGATGTGCTCTTTTTGGTGTGTTTGTCAAAAGTCGTTTTCTTGTACGCCCCCTTTGCCGTTGGTTCTTCCTGTTCGATTTTGCTTGCAGCTACTTTTCGTTTCTCTTGCTGCTTCAATCGACTTTGGGCTGGAGTTGGGTTTCTTTGAGGTTGCTTCAATCCCGTCAAGCTTTGGGTTCTATCGATGTTTGGTTATGGCAGAAGCCTTGGTAGTTCGGAGTGTTCTCATGGCTTTGCAGGTCGCTTGTTTGTGTAAAGGTTTCAGGACAAAGATTATGTGAGATGTGCTTTCTGTTGTTTTCCTCTTGCATCTAGTTCTTTATCTGTTTGGCTCTTCCTTTTCTAGATAAATTGGTCTGATTTTTTGACTTAATTCTAATTTGTAGTAGTGTGTTTCGAATCCTATCATGTATTTCATCTGTATTTCACCTCTGTATTCCAATGTGATCTTAATAAAATTCAGTTGAAAGCAAAAAAAAAAAGATGTGTATTAATTAAAATATTTTGATTGGTTGTTGATTTTGCTGATGTGTCAGTTTTTTGTAATTTAAAAAGTTGAGGTGTCAAGCCATGAAAAGATATTAGTATTATTGTTGTGTTGATTAATGTCAAATGATTGAAAATCTGACTAATTATATAGTAATATTTACAAAATAAAAATGTAAATATAATATTTAATAAAGAAAATTTGGATCCAAAATTAAAAACTAGAACTATGATTAGATATATGACTATTTAAATTTTGTTTGTAAATATTAATATTCAAAGTTTAGATATACCATAAGGTTTATGAATCCAAAATATTGAAATTTTATTATATACTATACGTTTTTGATCAATTTTATATTTTCCATCACATAAACTGTTAATAACTAAATAAATTAATATTTTATATTAATAAACTTTCTTAACTATATTATCAAATAATAATATAACATTTTGCGTCAATTTGAGATCACCAACAAAAATGTTTTAAAAGTTTGTAACTAATAGATATCCGTTTTATATTGATTATGACAAATTTACATTTAATAGACGTGATATATTGTTGGCACAACATAATTAAATATATGTTATTTGTTTTATCTATCTTTATTTTTTAAATACAGTATGCACGTAATTTAGTTATAGATAATTTGCGCCAAATATTTTAAATAGTAGTTATTTATTACGATTAACTAACTTACTTGTTTATGCTAGTCAAAGAAGAAAAAAATTAATAGCTTTCTTGTTTTCCAATTCAATATAATTAACTTCCTTAAAAATCAACATTAAAAGAAAAGAGAACTACCAATCAAAAGTTAAAAATGGTAAGATAGTATCGCAAAATAGAATAATGTTTTGGTAGCAGCTCATTAATGTCAACTGGCCAGTCCCATGTATAAAAATTTGATACATCCTTTGTGAAGTTTCAGACATTTGTTTTGATTTTCTCAGAGAGATTTCTTTTTCTTTGTTTCGAGAGTTTTATAATTTTGATTTAATTAAAAGCCATTTACTTTATAAAAAAATCTCAGATTTGATTATACTTTTCGGTATACTGAATTTGGATTTCGAGTTTGTTTTCATAAGATTATAATATGGTGATGGGTTTAGAGAAAGATTCTAATGAAAACAAACTTGTTCATGATGAGAAATTTTTAGATTGTGCAATTTGTTTTGAAATGTTGGTGAATAAGGATGCTGATCGGACGCTTGTTAAGCTTCGATGCAACCATCAGTTTCACTGGGTAATCTTTTTTTTTCCAATTACAGTATGTGATTAATGGGTAATCTTGATTTGCGCTCTTCTGATTTGAATAATATTGAAGGACTTTCCTTTTCATTCATTTACAAAACTATGGTTTCTTAATTTCACAAGTCTTGTTTATTTGTTATTTTCTACTGAAAGATATCGTCTAGTTCATGCTTTCAGAGGAATAAATTTATATTGATGTGATCTATGATGTGATATGTCATTCTTTTGGGTATCTTTTGTTCACTAATACATGTAATGTTTTATATATATGCGAGTCGACCAAAACTGTCATATACTATTAAGTTATTTAAACCCTTTAGCAAACAATTAAAATAAATAAATGCTGTATATGAAATTTATTTGTGTGAATTAGTTCGAGATAGCTTGCAGCAAAAATGAGATGTATTTGTCCTCGCTATATCATACGTCATGCGCTCCGCTATCAAAAACTTTATGGTTTTGATTACTATTATTTGGGTTTGTTGGATTATATAATCAATGGTGGAACTTTTAAAAGAGTCTCTATTATTATTATTTTTGCTACTATTGTTTCACAGAGTTATCATACAGATTTTTGTTGTTATGTTTGTACAGATTGTATCGGTTCAGCTTATAATGCAAAAAGGATAATGGTGTGTCCATTATGTAGGAATGCAGAACAAGGTCGATGGTTGTATGCAGCAGGCCTTCCAAACCAAGATTTCAATGCCGAGGATCGGATTCCTGACCCTAATCTTGGATTCTCCACTGATCACTTGGTGACGTCTTATATATACTTTTCTGTTTTGAATCGTTGATATTATTTGATGAATATTTGTATCATTCATGTCAAACATCTTTTGTTTTGTTTATCTTGCAGGCTTTCGGAATGGAGTTGTGCCCATTTGAAGCTTTCCGTCAGTTTAATCCTTTCATGTAAGATTTACATTACATGAACCATGATTACTCCATACAACTTTGGCAAATCTGAATTTTTTTTAATGTTTTCTGATGAGTGCTTTGATGTTTTCTCTCAAATATTTGTAGTCCTCCAAATATGTTGGCTCCGAACATTTTTAACCTTGGACTAGAACGTCATAGAAATCACCAATGTCCTTACATAGAGTATAATGTCACATTTCTTCCCTCCCTTTTTGGTGTGGGAGTCAATATGGGTTCCAATTTCAATGGCCAGTGGACCACTGGCTCAGGAGATCTCTCTTACCGCTCATACCCATCTCATCTGCTCATTCCACTTAGTAGTTTACCGACGAATCCAAGACTTTTCCAAAGTGTCTTAGACGCAGGGGTGATCATAGCAAGATTTTACTTTACCCATCCATGTTTTGATCGTAAGTAAAATTTTTAATCTTTTTTAAAAAACATTATTGTCAATTAAAATGTATGATTCTATATATTTCTAGTTTTTTTCCTTAATTTGGAGAAATGGAAAGAGTTAATAGTACTTAGAATTTTTTTTTTTGCTACACGAGTTAAACGTTTTATGAAATGCGAATCTAGCTTGAGAACTAAAGATTCTGTATTTGTTTCACTTACATATGTTTTGAATACCACTTAATAGATTTTGTTTTATTTATATTATGTTCACGCTTAGAAGTAAAACTAAAATATATGTTAGGTTTTTTTCACTAAAATATTTCATGATCAAACTCTAATTGAGATTCTTTTTGTTTTTGTGGCAGTGCCTTTGGTGGATTCAGCGGTTTAATGGTTAACGTTCTTATGGTCCATCTTATCCAGGCAGCAGCTTAGTGACTCCTCCAACGGCTAATGTTCCAACGGTTCCTCCTTATATTGGTAGCAACTTAATCACTAATACTCCAGTGGCTAATGTTCATACAGCTCGGCCTTATCTAAACAGCAATATATCGGCTAATGGTGCTGTCGCTAATACTTCAATGGCTCCACCAAATCTAAACAGTATCTTAGTCACTAATGCTCCAGCAGCTAATATTCCAATAGGTCAGCCTTATCTACGCAACAACTTATGGGCTAATGCACTAATGTCTCCACCTCGTCTAAGTGGTAATTTAGTCACTAATGCTGCAGTGGCTAATACTGCAGTGGGTAATGTTCCAATAGCTTATTCTTATTTAGGCAGCAACTTACGGGATAATAATGTTTTCACTAATGCTTTAATGCCAACTTTCTATCTAGGTGGTAACTTAGTCATTAATTCTCCAATGGCTAATGATCCGATGCTTAATGTTCCAATAGCTCAGCCTTATCTAAGCAAGAACTTATGGGCTAATGCTGCTATAGCTAATACTCCAATGGCTCCTCCTTATCCAGGCAACAGCTCAGTAGCTAATACTCCAATGGCTCCCCCTTATTTAGGCAACAACACGATGCCAAATATCTGCGTGCCTCAGTTACCTGTGGGAGATCTATCAACGTTGGTTTCATCAGGCATGGGCAGTTTACCAGCACCGGTCTTGCATGGTCATATGTTCTCAAATGGTCAGGAACAACTTGCTATAGGAGTCTTAGATCGAACACAACAACATCCTAGGGAAAGAAACTTATCAGGTCTTGGTGCTTTAAACTTCACGGAAGGTGGTGGAAGCGGTAACGATGGGGGTGGTGGAGAAAGCAGTAACAATGTTGGCGAAGAAAGTGGCAGAGGCGATGGAAACAGAGGAAACGAAAACAACAATGTGAATGAAAGAAGAAACAGCTGAGGCGTACGCTGGTGCTAAGGATTGGGACTGTAGTAAGCATATTTGGCAATCCGTACAATTCTCATGAAACTTTTAAGACAAGAAAGTGAACTTTTCTTTTATTTTGGTTTTGCTAAAAAACTTTTATTTTATTTTCGTTTATGTGTTAACAAAACTTGGAATTACTTTAAAAGTTTATGTCGACAAATAATTTGAGAAACCTAGAAAAAAGTTATAGGCATTGTTTTGGAGAGGCTGTTGTTGTTGGCTCTCTCTGGCTACTCATTCTCCTGCCAACAAACTGAGCTGCAGCTAAAACTCAGTTTAGTTTAGATGACTTGGTTTAGGGATTTTTGCAAAAATGACCTAAAATTTAATTTGAATTGCAAATCTAACCTACAAAAATCACCTTCTCAACATTTGCCATTTTGTGTCCAAACAATCCTTCATAGTTTCAGTTATTCACGAAATTGTCATTATTTTTAATTAATTTCTTTTATTTTCGAAAATTCAAATGACCAACTAATCCTCATCTTCCTCATTTATTTACAAAAATGCTCCGAAAGTAGACTTTTCTCTGTCCGAATGAAGTCTACTAGTCAACGCCCAGGTTAGTTTTGCAATTGACCGCATGAAAAAAGAGATTTCTTTTGGTCCGAATGAAGTCTACTCCATTTCCTTTGATAACAAAAAAATAGAGTAGACTTCTCGAGTAGACTTCTTTAGAAGCAGGTCATTTTTGAAATTGACCAACCTTTGACTTTGTAGAGTAGACTTCTCTATGCATAGTAGACTTCTCCAAGAAGTCTACTTTCGTAAGTAGACTTCTCGCAGGTCATTTTTGCAATTGCAAAATATTTTACTTTTTGGTCAATTGCAAAAATGACCTGCGAGAAGTCTACTTACGAAAGTAGACTTCTCGGAGAAGTCTACTTTTCATAGAGAAGTCTACTAATATTTTG